TATATCGGTGGAAGCTTTCTGGTAATACCCCTGCGTCTCTGTGTATTTTTCCCCTCAATCACATTTACATACTGTAAAAGGGTTAATTATTCACTGGGTTTTAATTTTGCTTATTTCGCTGAATGGAAAATGCGCTAAATTAAAACCCAGTGAATATGTAAAATTTAGCATAGAACACATTATCTAAATGATAAAACCGTGAATTTAAAACCCACTGAATATGCCTGAAATGCTAAATCAGTGAAATTTAAACCCAGTGAAAATTAGTCATTTTACAGTAGATCCCATCAGATTTACTCAAAATGCTTAATTAATGATATGCAAAGTTTCTCCAAAATTAACAAAGAATTTATACAAATATGCATTCACATTTTAGAAGAAAGCATAATGGTGTTCATAGAATCACAAACAATCCTCATCTTTTCCTTCATACCGTGATGAAACAACAAACATTTGCTGCGAGTATGTTGCCATCTTATTATCATTTTGAAACATTTATCATTTGTGCTACCAAATGAATATTCATCGGGTTAAATGTTTGGGTGAATATTCACCTACACAGCTGAAATTTTTTTTTGTTTGCTAAAAATCCATTTTCGGCTATTTGCACATAATTATCATAATATATGCCCTGTGTAATAACATACCTGTACCATGGCATGGTTTGGTACCAGGTAGGTAGGTAATTTTTTCTCAGTTTGAAATAGATTCAAAAAGAAATTGACAAATTGAACGTGGCTCAGATAGGTGTATCTAGATATGCTAAAAGTAATGTTCACATTCAAGTTTTATTAAATACAATTTTCTTTTACACAGTAACCATAGTTACCTTCTATGTCTGACACTATTTTCAAGTTGCGATGAGTCTTCCTGAAAAGTAGAAATAAAGACACATTCATGTCATGTCTGCCTTTCAGGTGAAATTACCAAGTCAAGTTTATTCTACACTACCGCCACAGTCTGTGGATAACACTATGTCAAGCATGTATGAACAAATTATACAACCCTGCTAATACAATGTAAACTGGCTCTGTGTTTCAACCTTTTCACCACCAGATATTCTCGCCCAAATTTGTCTGCACTTTTTTCTTATATTCTTCAATATTTCTGGAGAAATTAACTCTGTTTTAGCCAACAAACAAAATTCGAGTAAATTTTCTGTTTCTACTGTAAAATGACTAATTTTCACTGGGTTTAAATTTCACTGATTTACCATTTCAGGCATATTCAGTGGGTTTTAAATTCACGGTTTCGTCATTTAGATAATGTGTTCTATGCTAAATTTTACATATTCACTGGGTTTTAATTTAGCGCATTTTCCAGTCAGCAAAATGAGCTAAATTAAAACACAGTGAATAATTACCCCCTTTACAGTACTTAAAAAACTTTGCTATTTTTGTTCCAATCTTTGGAAAGTGCAGACTTTAAACAAGACTAGTTTGTGAATTTGTGATGAAAAAGAGGGAACTGGTGATGAAAAGGTTAATGACTGATATCGTGCAACACAAAGAAATGAAACCTTTTGTCAGAAGAGCAGTGGGTTCAAAAAGAGGAAACTATATGGTTTTCCCATACAAGGCTGTTCCTCTCACACAATGAAGTCTTGATACGCTCCACTGCTCTAACCATTGTCAAATAAAGATTTTATTATGGAGAGGTGAACTTGAAAATGATTCTCATATTATGTTGACAATTAACACCATGGTAACAATGACGTAGATCAACTGTACTTTTCAATACTGCAATTAAATGTCCATCCACTAAATAATCACCCTCCCATACCTTAATTTATATATGTTTGTAAAATGATACAAAAACCAAAATTCTCTCACTCACCCCTAATAATTCATCTCTCATTTCATTTGTATATCGCGATGCTGCTTGTAAATGAAGTTCTTTGGTCGTAACTGAAGATGCTGATGATGTATCGGGCAATGTAATCGTCTTGCCTGGTGTCAACAACTGACTTGCCATAGCTTTGTCACTGGCACATGTCTGCAAGCAAACAAGGTGTACAAAGGGAGTTTCAATGGTTACTCAAAATGATTAACTTTTAAAATACCCATTTTAGGGACCGTGTCCTTGCCAGAATATTTGTTCCAATTATTTTTAAAAAAAATATATGTAGATTTTCTATATGAATCTACACATAAAGGCAAATCTATATAAACTGACTCCCTATCTTTAGAATGTTGATGAAACTGTTAATCTTGATAAGTGGTACTGTGGGAAATTTGGCAAAACATGCATTTTGCCTCTCCATTACACAAGTTTATTTTGCTGAAATTATAAATGTTCTCACCAGCTTTTCTGTTGCAATGAGTCCTCGGAGGAATTCTATCTTCTTTGTATATTCTTGCATTATTTCCGGGGTGGGTTTGCTTTGGGGAGAAAACACAACAGATAATTATAGAGGTAAAAAAACAGGAAACTGTCTGAAAAATTCCAAAAAAGGAAAATTTGGAATGGTGAATTACTCAAAAAATTTTATAATATATTTGTTTGCGTCAATATTTTTCTGAATTATTTTCATTCGATTTTTGCGCAAAAGACTACACTGTACAAATTATGTAAATGGACATAACTGCACTCAAGGTCAATTTTATCAAAAGACAAAAATAATCAGGAAATGAACACATCAAACTATACCCTGTAATAACCAAAATTACCAGCAGAAAAAAAGAATCTCAAATCTTTACCCAAAAAATGAAATGAAAGATACAGCATTTTGTCAAAACATGTTGTATTGTCAGCGATCAAAAAAAAATTATAGAAAACAAAATAAACAATTTCACAAATCTTGTCAGAGAATAAATTTTTAATTATAATGGCAACACTGCAATGAATAATGCATAAGCTAAATTTACAAAAAAAAACTTGATTACCCCCGGTATGAGACAGCAACACCTGTCAGCATAGCATTATTCTTTTTCATGC